TCTCTCTCTATCTATCTCTCTCTCTCTCTATCTATCTCTCTATCTATATTATATAATTTCAACATGCGAGCTGAGCAAAGAATATATAAACAGATTCCTCCAATAAAGCTTACCAGCATTTATGAACGAATCCCCCGCTGGTCAGAAAAACTGAACAGAGCTTGCAGCCGAGCCAGCTCTGCCAGCTCTGTTCGGACAAGAATTCTCCAACCTGCTCTTTTGATCTGCTGATGCCAGTCAGAAGGTGCCAACAGCGACACCCACTGTGCATATTTTGGCTGATTCATCAGAAATTGTTCCTCCTGCCTGTAGCAGACTGATGACACCATCTCAGCCTAGGCAAAGTCACTCGGCTGCAGTATAAGGATTGCCTTTTAATAATAAAATACATGACTTTTGAGTAATAATAATGTTTCTGTGTATTGTGATCTGTCAGGAATGTACTGATGCATTATTGCAAAGTTAGTATAAGATCAATTTTAAGCCTGACATTTTATAAATAAAACACAGTGTTGTCATGTGTTACACAAAAAAGATTCCTATGAGGACTAGAAACTACAACCAATATTTACTTAACAGTGCCAGCTGTCTGATTTAGTTGGTATTTCCTCGTGCACATTAGTAGCAACCCAGGAAATTTTAGGTGCTTTTTCTAATACCATCTTCCCCATTACCTCATCAATCATCTTCCTGGCATTTGCTATGGTGTAATCTCCAGCAAAGAAAACCACCAAGCAGGACTCGTCACTTTTTTTCAGGCGCTGACCCCAAGTGACTGGCACTATGCTCCGGTTAACGTCTGTAGAAACGCGCACGGCTTTCAGTTCTTCAGAGTCTGGGATGGGCACGTAGTCTTGCACTGCGTACTCAGTTTGAAGAAGACTCCAGTTGGTCTCTCCTGACACGGGGGTGAAGTCGTGGATGTTGCTCCATGTGTTGTTGAAGATGCTTAAGCCTGCCTCCTTGAACTGTGCTGCTAGTTCTGGGTAATAGAACTGGAAACATCCAAACTTCATTCCAGTGGAGGACTCTATGATTGGCTGGGTGGTGCAGCTTAAAAATACTTCCATTTTCCTGCAATCTCTGGTGCGAAACTGCTGACAGGCCACGATGCATTTGCAATCCTTACAGTCGCGAAAGAACACGCTGCCTTTTACAGGCCCTAAGAAGATGCGGCAATTTGTGCAGTCATCGATGGTGATGGTGGCAGAATGGTCAAATATATAGATGTTGCAGTTCTCGCATTCCTGTATTACAAATTGTTGGCCTGCGACTTTATCTGGCAACCGTCCTATCGTCTGGTCCTTCAAGCCATTAAACATGTAGTCCTTGGGGTCTACCTGTGATGCAAGAAAAGGAACAGACAGACATCAGTACAATGTTATACGCATTATTAAGATTAATATTCCAAGATATGCAGATCTAAAACAGAACTCCAGGTAAAAATCTTAACCCTTGCTGTGGGGCTACCCCTGCACTGCAAGGGTTAGGGGCTTGTTTTTGTCAGGGTTAAAAAATAACAAAGTTATACTTACCCGCTCCCATAAGCTGGCTTGCTATTACAGTAGACCAGTCCCTTCCGCCTGTCTCCTGCTCCTTGGCAGCAATGGTATGTCCCTCGGCGTCTTCCCGTCCTATAAACTGTGCATAGAACATGATGACTCAGGGACCTTAGACCGCTGCAGCGGAGGTGGACAGAGGAGAAAGGGACCGGTCTAAGAGCAAGTGGGTTTGGAGGATCGGGTAAGTATAACTTATTTTTGAACCTAGACAAAGAACAAGTATTTAACCCTTGCAGTGAGGGGTTAAGAAACATTTTACGCAAACTTCTGCTTTAATGAAATATATGTATTTGTCTTATATGTTTAGAGGAAAGAGCAAGAGTCGTCTAAATTATTTACTACAGGCAAACAGCTAAATACACTGATGAAATATAGATTTGTTTTAGTTTCCAAAGGATTTTTATTTACGTCTACCCCACTGCTCTAGATAATACGAAATCACCTGCGCGCCATACAGCGTACAGACCTTGGAGTAAGAAGCTGGTGGTTGAAGTGACAACACGGATGGTGCCTTGTCAGTTACAGTCCATAATAGAAGTCACCAGCACCCGATGATGTGTGCAAGAAGTAAAGCACTTTTTATTCAATTGTCACATGCGTCAAACAGCCAACTTTTCGGGGCCACGCAGGGTCCCTTCTTTTGGGCGACATAGTGACCGTCACTTTGTCGCCCAGAAGAAGAGACCGTGGCCCCAAAACGTTGGCTGTTTGACGCATGTGACAATTGAATAAAAAGTGCTTTACTTCTTGCACATACCCCACTGCTCTGTCACACAGCACAACCCTGTCTGGCAGCTCAGGAGACCTGATTTTTCTCTGCTGGTGTCAAGTAATACTTAGGCCTCATTCACATGAATGACAGGTTCCACCGCCCCCCTGAAAAGTGATCTACCTCCCTCTGATAAGCAACCATACTAGAGCAGCAGCTACCCAGTGTTCAGAAGGCAGTAATGCCATCGCCTGAATGTGCTTTATTTTTATTCTGGAGGAACTTTTTATTGGAAATGTCTTCAATAGTTCTGTTTGGCAAGCACCACCACCTGACAAACGCTTCATGCTGCAGACAAAAACGAGCTCTTAACCCTTAAAACGGTTAAAAAAAAATTTGCCGGGAGTTATTCTTTAAGTTTTATGTGGGTAGTCAGGGGACAGTAAAACCACAGAGGAACTGCCTGTGTTTACCACCCTTTGGCCTTACAGGTCTTTTTTTTATAAATTCTTTATTTTTTCCAATTTTTCAAATTTATACCATACATAGAACGGTGCAGGCAAAGAAAGAAGGTATACATGATACAATCGTTACAAATATAAACCAACCTGGTCACTTCAAAAACTGTCAGACAACAGACAACTAATTGTTTAGCCATACAGGCACCTAACGGTGGACAAGATAAAGAAGAGGGAGGCTGCTTTCTTGCTCATGTAATGAGACTAAAGATAGGTAGTCAGGTGTTTATGCCGGCCATGCTGTCAGTTAGAACCTCTGATATAATTAGTTAGTCCGTGCCTTATTGGTGAGTGCTCTCTTTATCGATTTCGGAAGAAGGGCAAAGAGGATGAAAAGACAGCTGACATGGCACCCCGCTGATTGTATGCGGGCGGTAATATAGTGGAGAGCACATGTATGTACTTAGTGCCAACTTTATATATTGGATTATTGGGTAAATATATTAGGGATGGTAAGGTATGGAGGAGGCCAAGTAGTTTGTTGATGGTTATCGATAATACCTGGGGTCTGTGTGCCTTACAGGTCTTGTCCCTTCCAAAACCAGTGACTGGGCAGTTAAAGGCAAAGCAGCAGACTGATAAGTTCATCTCTCATCAGATTTCTGTCACTCTGCTCCTCCTGGTTTGTAAAAGCCACATACCAGGTCAAATTCATGTACTCACAGCGCATAGATTAAAAGAGAAATTGTAATGTTGTGTTAATAAATACAGAGCTGCAGCTTGTTCATACCATGTCCGTTGAGCTGCGGTTTTCTGCACACTGCCCCACGTGTATGGTGTGAACAGGGCACACTGAATACAACGGTTCTCTATGTACTCATTCATACCACACATGTGCAATGGTGTGCAAAACAACGCAGCTCAACAGACAAGGTGTGAACATGCTCTAAATCTCTCTGGAGTTCAGCTTTATTTTGTGTACTACCATAGGGAAATAGGAATTGTTTAATACCAATGAAAACAATAATATTAACTAGGCTCCAGTTTGTGAATACTTTATGTGCCACATACAAAAACACAGAATTAGGATTGCCAAACATTTAGGCGCTTTGTAAATTAGTTCTTAAAAGTATTCTTATATTCCATGCACTCATTCAGCAGAGAGAGGCAACATATGAACATTTGTAAACTTGAGGTTTAGACACGAGAAAGCAGCTATTGAGGAAGCTTGGCTGCCAACCTCCCTATATACACTCAGGTTAGAGCTATGGGGGCTCTGTAACAGCAAGTCTGTGTTATGTGCTTCGTTTCAGCAGCCACGATTGACTTTCACAAAGACAACATTCATCATCTCAAAGTGGTGACTAGACCAGCAGCATTCCTTTATAACTGAATATTATTCAAATATTATTGGGCTAGATGAGATACAACACCAGGGGAATTACAACTTTTACAGTACCTGGATATGCGTCAGTCTTTAGTGTATACATCCCAATGCCCTTTGCTACACGTTCCAACACAATGTTGCACTTTACAGAGACAAGATTTTCGAGAAAAAATAAATGAAGTGGAATAAGCCGATACTCATCCTCATTTTGCAAACAAAGTAAGCAACTGTTAAAAGGTGTTTGCACATGTTTCTGCATCAGGTAAAAATCTTTATTTAAGGCATTAAAGGGTTTCTAAACCCTCCGTTTTTTTCCCCATACATCTACTGCTAGCAAGCAGTAGATATATGCAAAAAGTTTTTTTTTTTTTTAAAAACCTCTTTAACAGCGGTTTAAACTTACTCCGCGCGCTCCCGTCCCAAAATCCGAAATCGCTCAGGTGGCCGCAAAGCATCTTGGGACGGGTGCATGCGCAGTTTGGATTTTCGGCCGGTAGACGAGTAGAGACGCAAGGCAAGTCTATGGACGCGTGCACCCGCATGCAGACACCGCGGGACAGGAAGTGCCAGCAAGGACAGAGGAGTCAGCGCTAGATCGGAGAGCCGCCGCCGCACCGCTGGAGGGACAGATGAAAACATCAGGAAAGAAGATCGGATTAAGAGACATCATTTAAGGCAAGTGCCAACATTAACATTGGGGGGAGGGGGAAAAAAATGTGACTTTAATGTCACTTTAAACCAGACACATCGGTCCCACTAATGTTTTGCAGCCAAAAGAGGCCTTATCAAAGCTATTAAGTGGGACTGCTCAAGTGCGTTAGTGGGACTGCTATTGTGACGACATGGATTACGGGTTACTTGTGTGTGTGTTATTGCTGGGTTATGCAAGACTGTCAGCACCACCCCTCGTTAGCTCCCTTTGTACTCCAAGGAGCTCAGGACAATGACATTCTCCTGCGTCTGGCCAGACTCCTGCTATGGCTGTCTGGAGCTCTTTAGCAGTTGGACCCCTGCGGGGTTGTGCAGTCAGAATGTCTGGGGAGGGCAGGGTGGATGTAATGGGATTATAATCTTATCTGATCACCTTGTGTATAAAAGGTTGCACAGTTGCTAAATAAATCAGTTAGTTTCACCCTACACTTGGTTTCGACTAGTGACTGGGGAAACTGGAAGCTAAAGATTACTTGGTTGCAGCATCTCCTCGGCAAGGAAGAATACAGTGGTGCACATTCTCCTGAGTACTGGAGTCCGTCACATCCAGGTAGCAGGCGGTCAGTCACAATTAATGTGACGGACTCCAGTACTCAGGATGAGTATGTCCGCCACTGTATTCTTCCTTGCCGAGCAGATGCTGCAACCAAGTGATCTTTAGCACCCAGTTTCCCCAGTCACTAGTCGAAACCAAGTGTAGGGTGAAACAAACGAGGGTGTGGTGTGTGTGGTGGCGCACTGCAGGTAAACGTAGCTCACCACGCTACTGTGCGGAGACCTGATTGAAGTGTCCACTTCAAATAAAGTTAAAAGAAGGTTCATCAGACCTGTAAAACTACACTAGCCCACAACTGAGTGAAATGAGGGTCTTGCTGTGAAAAACTGGAAGGAGACAGAATTTTACTGGCAAGAGGCATGCAGTCTCTTTGCCAAAAAAACATTTGCCCAATGTTCCCTGATGTTTTTCCTTTCCTATGTAGCTGTACAGAGCATGTGCCGTGCAGCACGCAGCCCGGGTTATTCTTGATATGCCAAGAATAGAGCCGCTTGTCAAGGTGCACATGCATAGGAGTCACATCGTTAGTGGCCATGCAATGGTCGAAGGGGAGCATTACAGGACTCGAGAGAGATAGCAGCAGTGTCGAATGGCGCAGTGACCTGTCATCACTGGAGGAGGGCACGTAGAGGAAAGTGTGGTATAATGTGCAAGTATGTGTGCATTATGGTAAGAGCCCCTACAGCACTAATAGCACACACCTTCTTAGTTCAACACGAATATGACTCCACAGCCAAATGCTACTGTTCAAATAAATGTGTTCTCCTTTCAATGTATTTGTACTCCAACTTGATTGGTCTTCATGACGCATTAACTGCCTGCAGTTGATTATAAATAAGAAAAAATGTGTACCAGGATTTTACATGCCATTATTAGGGCTCATGCACACGGGTGTATTTTACTCCTGTATATGCGATGCCCAGAGGCCGCAGCTGCTGTGGTTTTCTCTCTATAGCA